CCAGGCCCAGAGTTCAGGCCCCATGACCAGACCCCGCTCCCCCCCACCCCCCCCCAAAAAAAGAATATACTATAAGCAGGTGCTGCCTGTAATCCTAGCTACTCAGGAGGCTGAGATCTGAGGATCATGGTTCAAAGCCAGCCCAGACAGGAAAGTCTGTGAGACTCTGATCTCCAATTAACTACCAGAAAACTGGAAGTGGCGCTGTGGTTCAAGTGGTAGAGTGCTAGCTTTGAGCTGAAGAGCTCAGGGATAGTGTCCAGGCCCAGAGTTCAAGCCCCACGGCTGACCAAAAAAAAAGAATAGTACTATACCACTTGAGCCAGAGCTCTATTTCTGAAGTGTTTGATTGGAGATAAGAATCTCACAGGGGCTGGGAATGTGGCTTAGTGGTAGAGTGCTTGCTTAGCATGCATGAAGCCCTGGGTTCAATTCCTCAGTTACTACCACTAAATAGAAAAAACCAGAAGTGGTGCTAGCCTTGAGCAAAAGCAGCTCAGGGACAGTGCCCAGGCCTTGATTTCAAGTTCCAGGACTGGCAAAAATAAATAAAGTCGTGGACTTTCCTTCCCAGGGTGACTTTGAATTGTATTCCTTAGATCTTAACTTCCTGAGTTCTAGGTTTACAGCTGTGAGCCACATTGTTCAACTTTACTTGTTCTATAGTCCATAGATTGCTCTTTCTATCACTTTTTTCTTTTCTTGTAATTTGAGGGTCTCGGTCATCCACTTTAGTTTGTTCTGTTTTATTTTTCAAAATATGGTCTTACTGTATATCCAGGTAGGTTTGGAACTCACTTAGCCTAGGCTGCCTTGAACTGAGATCCTTCTGCATCAGCCTCCTGGGTGCTGGGATTAGATGTGCCCCACCTTGCTTGATATGTATCATTTGTGTTTTAGGACTTTTTACTCTAGATTTTGCTGCTTGTATTCCTTTGATGCCATTAACATACTCCTACTTTTTTTTTTTTTACTCCTACTTTTTATACTTCTTGTAATTGATAGTTGGAGTCAGAAACATAGATTCAGACTTTCATTTTGTGGCAACGTATTTTATAGATGGCATAGGGTTTTCTTTCACTTTTACCACTACAAAATATAGTTAGGTAAGTCTATCATGTCTGGTTGGTTGTATTTTGTTTAGAGAGTGGAAGCAGTGTTATAAAATTCTTCATTTTTGCTGGGCACTGGTGGCTCATACCTGTAATCTCTTACCCCTATAATCTTGAGCTACTCAGGAAGCTGAGATCTGAGGACTGTGGTTTAAAACTAGCCCCGGCAGGAAAGTCTGTGCAATTCATCTCCAATTAACTGCCAGAAAAATGTGGCTCAAAGTGGTGGAGTGCTAGCTTTGGCAAAAAAGCTCAGGAACACCACTCAGACCCTGAGTTTAAGCCCCACAACTGACACACACACATAAACAAAATCATTTTCCCTGTCTTTCTCCACCATCGTCATTTAATAATCTCATCTGGCTGAGAAAAACATCTACTTTTCAGTACTTCCATCTACTTCAAAAATTTGTGTTTATGGTACCTTCTCTATCTCATTGCCCATTTAAATATTTTTACTGATGTCTTAAACCATTTTCATGAAGCTTTTCGACAAGATTATCAGTAAGCTAGGCTGAAAACAAATGACCAGTCCAATGTCCAATTTTATTTTGCTCAATAGATGAACAACTTTGAATAAAGTTTTGATTGCCCCTTTTTGAAACATTCTCTTGGCTTTTAATTTTTTAATTATTATAACAGTGAGGTATAAATAGGTTATGGTTACATAAGTCAGGTAATAAGTACATTCTTTTTCTTTTTCTTTTTTCGGGGGGCTTTTTTTTTTTTTTGCCAGTCATGGGGGACTGAACTCTAGGCCTGGGCACTGTCCCTGAGCTCTTCAGCTCAAGGCTAGCGCTCTACCACTTGAGCCACAGCACCACTCCAGCTTTTTCTGCTTTTTTGGTGCTGAAGAATTGAACCCAGGGCCTCAGGCATGCAAGGCAAGCACTCTACCACTGAGCCAACTTCCCAGCCCCTCTTTTTCTTTTTTCAAATCAATAGAATTCTTTTATTGATTGCAATATGGAAGTATCAGAAACTGGTCAGGATCCAGGATAGTCTCCAAAGATGCCTTAACTTAGATCTTTTTCATCAGCCTGTTGAACTGTACCTTTTTCAGAAACATAGATACTATCCAAAATTTTTCTGATATTCTTGTTTTTAACTGTTGTTGCTTGCTGAATCAAAGCAGCTGAATTTGAGACAAGTTCAATATCATTTCCTTCAAGGATTAATTCATCTTTCTGGGCTTGAGAGACTGAACAAGCAACACCTGTCCTCATCCTAACTTTTCAGATGTATTTCTCACCCAAGAAGTTTCAAATTTCAACTAGAGACCCATTGAATAACAATCTTGATGGGGAAGTGAGCATACACAGACCTCATCTTGTTTTTTTGTTTGTTTGTTTGTTTTTGGTCTGTCGTGGGGCTTGAACTCTGGGCTTGGACACTGTCCCTGTGCTCTTCAGCTCAAGGCGAGCGCTCTGCTGCTTGAACCACAGCGCCACTTCTGGTTTTCGAGTGGTTTATTGGAGGTAAAGTCTCACAGACTTTCTTGCCCTGGCTGGCTTTGAACAGTGATCCTCAGATCTCAGCCTCCTGAGTAGCTAGGATTTCAGGCGTGAGCCACCAGCGCCTGGCACAGACCTTATCTTGTAACGAAAGCCCAGAGTTAACACCCTTGATCATGCAGATCAGTGCGAACGGTGGCCAGTTCCTTTCTGTTTCCCCAACATTTGTCAGGCTCGGAGCCGCTTCTTTTTCTTTCCAAGGAGGCTGAGTTCTGATGTGATTGAAATCCCTCCGCAGGGTTCCACTGGAACCTTTCACAATCACCGTGCGTCCCTTCAGAGTTATGTCGATGCCTTCTGGAATGTCTACAGTCTGATTACTGAGAATGGTCTTCATTCTCGCAGTAGATGGGGCAAAGAGAGGATTCTTTTGTTTTTCTGCTTGTCTGTTGTGGGGCTTGAACTCAGGACCTTGGTGCTGTTCCTGAGCTCTTTTGCTCAAGGCTAGTGCTCTACCACTTTGAGCCACAACTCCAGTTCTAGTTTTTATGTTTGTTAATTGGAGATAAGAATCTTGTGGAATGGACTGGGAAGGTGGCTCAGTGGTAGAATGCTTGCTTTGCATGCATGAGACCCTGGGTTTGATTCCTCAGCACCACATAAGCAAAACAAAACAAAAGAAAAATCTTTGTTTGGGCTGGGAAGGTGACTCAGTGGTAGAGCACTTGGCTTGCATGCTCGAGGTCCTGGGTTCAATTCCTCAGCACCACATAAGAAAAAAGCTGGAAGTAGCGCTGTGGCTCAAGTGGTAGAGCACTAGCCTTGAACTGAAGAGCTGAGGGACAGTGCCCAGGCCCAGAGTTCAGGCCCCACGACCGGACCCAAAAAACAAACAAACAAAAGAATCTTGTGGACTCTCCTGTCTGGGCATGATGCTCAGATCTCAGCCTCTTGAGTAGCTTGGATTACAAGCGTGAGCCATGGGCTCTCAGCTGAGTATATTTCTTTTTCTTTTTTTTTTTTTTTGGGTCCAGTTGTGGAGCCTGAACTCTGGGCCTGGGCGCTGTCCCTCAGCTCTTCAGCTCAAGGCTAGCGCTCTACCACTTGAGCCACAGCACCACTTCCGGCTTTTTTCTTTTTGCTTATGTGGTGCTGAGGAATCGAACCCAGGGCCTCATGCATGCAAGGCAAGCGCTCTACCACTGAGCCACCTTCCCAGCCCAATGAGTATATTTCTTTTTGCACCATGTCACCCCTTCCTTTGCTCTCTCTCCCAGTTTTTTCCCTCCCATCCCTACCAAGCTGTCTAGTTCATTTTCAACATGGTGTCTACTGAGTACCACTGCTGCATTTGTTCACCCTTTGTCCCTCCATTTCTATGTCCTCCCTTTATCCTCCCAAGACAGATAAATGAACAAACAAGACAAAAGAAAAGTAGACAAAAACAACAACAACAAAAAATCATTTCCATTTCCTGGAGTTTATTTCAATAAGTACTATTTTATATGATCAGAGGCATATAGGCATTGCACCTTTGTGTTCCCCCTCTAAGAGCATCCTCCTTTGGTCTTTGTGTGTTAATGCCAGGAGTCCTGTATAATTTATCATGTCCTAGTATATTTTAGAACTAGCTTGAGAGAAAACATGTGTCACTTGTCTCTGAGCTTGGCTTACCTCAGTTCACCTGATTTTGTTCTAGGTCCATCCATTGCTTCCTTTTTACCTCAGTTATCACACACACACACACACACACACACCTTTTTTTTTTTCAGTGTTGAAGATTAAATCTAGGATTTTTTTTGCAAGTTAGGCAAGCATTATCACTGAACTAGTCCCAAGCCCTAATCATAGACTCTTAGGTGTTGATGTTGTCTCCCTTGCTCTAGCCTAGACCCTTTACTCAACTTGCTCTTTACATTCTCCATGGCTTTTCTTAAATTGCTTTGGTGTTATTGACCTAGTTGAAAAGTGCTACCACTACCTTGTTTTATTTGTTTGTTTGTTTATTGATGTGTTCTCTTCAGAGCTGGCTTATTTTGCAAAGACAGCCAGGCATGGTACAAGGTTGTAATCCTAGCTACCTGGGAGACTGAGAATGGGAGGCTTATGAACCCAGCAACTATGAGAGACCTAAAATTGTAGATTGTGGTCCAGATGTGTATCCAGGCAGAAAATGAGATCCTATCTCAAAAATAAACCAGTGCAAAGTAGGGTTGGAGTGTGGCTAACGGATAGAATACTGCCTAGCAGACACCAGACCCTGAATTCAAACCCCTGAACCACAAGAAGCCAAATAAGAAAAACCAACATACCATTTCCTGGATCAGAATAACTGTTCTGTTGTATATGTATTTTGAAAGAATTAATTGCTTGTTCACTGTATTCAGTGATTTATGCTTTGTTTAATTGTATTATTCCAGTGCTGTCATTCATTAAAAAATATGAATTCAGCCTAAATTTGTGTGTCATCTTCATGCAGGGGTCATGCTAATCTCTTCTGTATCTTTTCAGTTTCAGTATTTTTTTGCTTATTTGGCTAGAGATAGCTTCTCCATAATTAAGTTTAACCCTGTACATAGTTACTTTTGTACCTTATCAAAGCAGGATTTTTGCTATGGCCTTTTTTCTGCTTTAATTTAGATGATTAATTCTCGTGTCAGTACTTTTGGTCCCAGACAATAGAAACTTACAGGCTGACTTCCATTCCCCTTTCCTGTAGATAGGGGGGTTTTGAAATTAAGAAATTAATTTTCACAGTAGCGCTGTTTGAATTCAGAACCTTGTGATTGTTAGTTTAGGCTGGCACTTTATGTAAGCCACATCTCTAGTCTTGCTAATTTTGAGATATGTTCTCACATTTCTCCTATGTATATATACATCTGAGCTTCCATCCATCTGTTTTAATACTTCTCATTATTTCTGAGATCATAGGTGGGCCACCACTATATTCAGTTTCCTTTGTAGCTAAAGTCTCCTGGACTTTTCTGCCCAGGTTCATCTGATACTGTACTGACACTGAAATCTTCCTAGTCAGCCTCCCCTGTAGCTTGGGACGACTGACCTTTGCCATTGCACTCAGCTGTGTATTGTGAGTTTTTCTGCTTGGACTGCCCTTGAGTCATTCTCAGCTTTCCAAGTAGCTGGAATTTCAGGCATAAGCCACAAGTATCAGACTAATTTAAATTTAATTAGTCTGCATTAATAGTACAAAGAGAAGTTGGATGCTGGTGACTGATGCCTATAATCCTAGCTATTTAGGAAGCTGAGATCTAAGGGTCACAGTTCTAATCCAGCCTAGGCAGAAAAATCTGAGAGACACTAATCCCCAGTTAACCAGCAAAAAGCCAGAAATGGAGATGTGGCTCAAGTGGTAGAGATCTAGCCTTGAGCTAAAAAGCCACGTAAGAACGCAAGGTACTGAGTTCAAGCTCCATTACTGGCACCAAAACAAAATAACAATTCCAACAAAAAATCTACCTGAAAGCAAGAGGCTCAAATCTGAAGATTGGAGTTCAAAGTCAGCCTGGTCTGTGAGACTCTTACCTACATACAATTAACCACCAGGAAACTGGAGGTGTCACTGTGGCTCAAAGTGGTAGAAGGCTAGTGCTGAACAAAAGAGCTCAGAGACAGCACCCTGGCCCTGAGTTTAAGCCCCACGTCTGACCCCCCCAAAAAAAAATCCATCTAAAAAACATGATGATTTCTGGGGCTGGGAAGATAGTTCAGTGGTAGAGCGCTTGCCTTGCATGCCTGAGGCCCTGGGTTGGATTCCTTAGCACCACATAAGCAAAAAGAAAAAAGCCGGAGTGGTGCTGTGGCCCAAGTGGTAGAGCACTAGCCTTGAGCTGAAGAGCTGAGGGACAGCGCCCAGGCCCAGAGTTCAGGCCCCATGGCTGACCTCCCTCCCAAAAAAAAAACAAAAAAAACCACCCCATGATTTCATTACAATAGTTCATAGATTTGCACAGTATACTTTGAACAAGTTCACCTAGTCTGTTATATTTCCATACTCTCCCCTCATTTCTTCTTTTAAAGAGTGTTTGGTAGGTTTTTTTTATTGCTGTCTTCATACATATATACATAACATACCGGTTCCAACTAGCAGAGTCCGAGGTGACAGATAAGAAATGTGCTCATGCAGTATGATCTTGTAATTTTAGTAACACCTAAGGGCAATAATGTATGGGTTAACTTACAGACAAGATTAAACCAAACATTGTCCTGAGGCTAGCTTAAGGGAATTATGGGAAAATAAGCAAAAGGGCCCATTCCAAGTGGCAGGTAACTAGAAGTCAAGGAGTACTAAGGTAAGTATATACCAGGACTCTCCTTCTCTTTGACAGAATTAATGCTGAAGGTCAGACACCCATAATCCTGTTGTCTTTTTTTGAGGTAGGATAGAAAAGCACACAATCAGGGTTTTTAACTGTGTCATAGTTCCAAGCTCACCAGACACATCTCCTGCAGCTAATCACAGTCGCCACAGGTATCTAGGGTTCCCACAATAACATACTTTGATCCTCTTCCTCTCTATATCCTTTTCCCCATCCTACTTTCTGCTGATCCCTCTTTGTACTCCCCACCCCCATACATTTGTGGCCCCATTATCGTTTTTATAATTTTAGATAGATCCACAGATGAGCAAAAACATGCAATTTGGGGGCTTGGCTTGTGTCATTCAACATGATCTTAAATCATGGATACACTTCTGATACTTGCTGCCATCTCAGTCTTTACCCCATCATGTACTTTTTTCAGATCAGGTAAGTCTCTAGGTGGTATGGCTTAAGTCTTAGGAAAGTGAGATTTAATTGGAGGTTATTAAATACTGAAGTGTGGATGGGTTATCCATTATGTTTGGTTTAATTTTAGTGTTTATTACTGACATCAGGCATTATTTTTTTGAATTTAGAGATGGCAGTGATGATTTTCAGTTGTCAATTTTAGTTATCTACCCTTTCAGTTGGAAGAATCATTAATCAATGAATTCTTGTTTGTATTTATAAGAATTTTTTTTAATGGAAAAAGGTCTTCATTCAAGTCAGCTGTTGTCATTGAGAGCATCTGATTTCTCACATTTTGACTTAGGACTCATATTTGATCAAGATTAGTTTTCTTGTTTTTCTTTCTTAAGTGGTTGATTCATAATGGTATTCTCAGTGCCTAGAAACACTACCTAGCATTGGCATGTATGAAAATGAGACACTCAAGAAAATGGCCCTTATTTCCTCTATAACGATGTAAATCTTGAATTTCATTTTGTTTAGGTTATGACTTTCTATTGCTTTTGATTGAATTTTGTGTATGCCAGTATTAATAAAGTAGGGGATTTGGAGGATGTATTTTCCCCCTGCTTAAATACTGATTTCTTAGGTTGCCCAGGTTGGTCTTGAACTCTTAGACTTAAGTAGTACTTGTGCTCAGCCTCACAAGTAGCTGGGAGAACAGGTGTTTCCCACCATACCTGGCCTTAAGATTGATTTTTTTTTTTAATCAGGAACTCACTCTATATTCCAGGTTGGCCTTAAACTTACAATCTTCCTCCTTCAGCCTGCTCAATCAGTACTAGAATGAAACAGTTCTTGATTTCCCCCCCCCCCCCCCAATTTATCTCCATTTATATTTTTGTAGTTATAATACTTCAAAAATACTGTATAGAAGCTGGGCATTGATGGTTCATGGCTGAATTCTGTGCAGTAGGCAGAGACCAAGAGGCTTGTGGTTCAAGGCGATCCCAGGGGATAAATGCAAGACCTTATTTCAATTAATAGCTGGGCGAAGTGGCACATGCTTGTTGCTCTAGCTACGTGGAAAATGTAAATAGGCAGATGGACATACATCTGAGAGTTTGTTTGACCATACGTGTTAGAAAATAACTGAAGGAAGTAGGTTTTACCTCAAGGGGCCACCTCAAGTAATAGAGCACTGCCTAGCAAGCACAAGGCCCTGAGTTAAACCCCCCAGTGCCAGCTCCCTATTCCCCCCCCCCCCCCCCGAAGTTACTTTTATGGTGTTACAATACACCAGGTAAGGACTCTGAAACTTTAATATCATCCAAAAAGTAGATTACTGTTTAAGCATATAGTATCCAAGATAGTCTGTGTGTGTCTCTGTCTGTCTGTCTGTCTCTCTCTCTCTCTTTTCTCTGTGTCTGTGTCTGTCTATCTGTGCTTGTAACTGGTACTGGGGCTTGAACTCAGGGCTTTGACTCGCACTCAGCTTTCTTGCTCATAGTTGGTATTCTACCACTTAAGCCATGCCTCCAGCCCAACATTTTGCTGGTTAATTATAGAGATGGACCTTCAGAGACTTCTGCCTTGGCTGGCTTTGAGCCATAATCCTCCAAGTCTTAGCTTCCTGAGTAGCTAAGATTACAAGTGTGAGTCTGTGGTGCCTGGCTTAGTTTTTTGCTTTAAATCATATCCTTCTGAGGGTTAAGAAGTGAATTGAAATGTTCTTAAATCAGTTTTTGCTTAAGTGTACTGGTTGAGACCATGAGATTGCTAAGCAGTTTATTTAAATAATAAATGCTAGCCACTCAGGTTATTGATGACTTAACAGTCAACCTTGAAGGTCACTTACGTTATGCTTGGCACTATTTGGCACAGATGTAATTTGTGAAATCTTTGTTCATATATTTTTGTGTATTAAAAAATTTCCCAGCTGGGCACTGGTGGCTCACGTCTGCAATCCTAGCTATCAAGGACCTTGGGGAGGAAAGACTCTTATCTGCAGTTAACCAACAGAAAACCTGGAAGTGATGTTAGGGCTGTGGCTCAAGTGGTAGAGCCCAAGCCTTGAGCTGAAGAACTTAGGAACAGAGCCCAGGAACAGAGTTCAAGCCCCACAACTGATCCAAAAAAAAAATTCCAGCTGGGAATGTGGGCTTAGTGGTAGAGTGGTTGCCTGGCATGCATGAAGCCCCTGGGTTTCCATTCCTCAGCACCACATAAATTGAAAAAAGCCAGAGGTAGCACTGTGGCTTAAGTGGTAGAGCACTAGCCTTGAGCAAAAGAAGTTTAGGGACAATGCCCAGGCCCTGAGTTTAAGCCCCAGTACTAGAGGTGGGGGCTGGGGGATTGTGTTGTTCTTAAAAGAAGAATTAACAGTCTTCTAGAGTAGCTATATGTTAATCTTGTTCATAAAATGTGTCTGGCAGGTAACATGACTAATAGTAGTAAATAAATGTATGTTATTAATACTGCTGTTTTGTCTTCTATTAACAGCAATTAAAATACACAAAATAAAGCCAAGGTGTTGTGGCACACAACTGTAATCTCATTCATTGCTCAAGAGGCTGAGGCAGGAGAATGGAGAATGCCTGTGCTACATATGAGACACTGTTGCCAATTTTACAAAAAAAGATAAAAAAAATATTATGAAGCTATATAGACCTGGTATTTTCTAGGTGATTAGATTTCTTTTATGAAATTCTTGGAAATTTTAATAAGGATTTCTTTTAGTATAATAATAAAGTAGGGAAAAACAGAAGTAGAAATAGAAAATAAGGAGAATCATTTCTTGAATAGAAATTAAGAGATTTCAAATGGTGGTTCTTATTTGTGATCTGAGCTGGGTGAATATGCCTCAATTCTTAGACTGATTGGGGTAGGTAAGATGGTTAGAGATAATAACTAAACAGAGTCTATAGAACTTGCTTTTGCCAGACAATTATTTTCCAGTTCCATGTCACTTCACCCACACCCATTCTAGAGTTTACAGCTTTCATCATCTTAAACTCAGAGGCTAACAATTTTGAACAGATGTCAGAGAATTCCTGAAATGTTACTCATTGTCTCTAAGGATTTTTGTACCCTAAGGTAACCTAAGAGTAAGCTAGGTATGATTTTCCTATCTACTTGGAAGATTGAGAATGGCAAGTTGAAGTCTGTTTTCAGATTTGAGTGAGATACTGTCTTAAAAAAAACCATAGGGCTGGGGAAAGTGGCTCAGTAGTAGAGTGCTTGCCTTGCATGCATGAGGCCCTGGGTTCGATTCCTCAGCACCACATATGCAAAAAGAAAAAAAAAAGCCGGAAGTGGTGCTGTGGCTCCAGTGGTAGAGCACTAGGCTTGAGCTGAAGAGCTGAGGGACAGTGCCCAGACCCAGAATTCAGGCCCCACGACCGGACCCAAAAAACAAAACAAAACAAAAAAAACCATAGGGGCTGGGAAGGTGGCTCAGTGGTAGAGCGCTTGCCTTGCATGCATGAGGCCCTGGGTTCAATTCCTCAGCACCACATAAGCAAAAAAGAAAAAAGCCGGAAGTGGCGCTGTGGCTCAAGTGGTAGAGTGCTAGCCTTGAGCTGAAGAGCTGATGGACAGCGCCCAGGCCCAGAGTTCAGGCCCCATGACTGGACCCCAAAACAAAACAAAAAAAACCCATAAAATGCTAAGTATTTTGATACTGATTTTTTTACAGTAGGTAAATCTTTGAAATGTATACTGAGGTCAATAATTTGGAAACAAATTTTAAGTCAATTCTTACTTTCTTTTTTCTTCAGGTGGAATGAACCTTACTTGTTAACTATTTCCTGATTACTGGATTCACTTGCAAAAGAATACTTTCCTCTGTGTGGAAGCCACTTAGTGGCATATTTAATTATAAATTCAAGGATTACAAAGCTTCTTGATTTCCTGTAGGAGGGACATACCACTATATCAAATAAGCTTCACATTACAGCCAAAATGGTGCTGTCCCAGAGACAACGAGATGAACTGTAAGTTTCTGTTTTGTGTTGTTTAAAGTAAGGATGGGAGGTGGATGGATGTGTGGGATGGGGATACTATACCATCATAACTACTCAGAAGGTGGAGATAGGAGAATTAAAGTTGAGGTAGCCCAGCTTTGGGGTTTGGCTCAAGTGATAAGAGTGCTTGTCTAGCAAGTGTGAGGTCCTAAGATCAATCCTTAGTACCAGTTGGAAGAGGAGAAAGAAGAAAACATAGAGGGGAAAAGTAATACACCTGAAGATGTACTCCAGTGATAAAGCACTGCCTAGTATGTGCAAAGTCCCGGGTTTGATCCCCAACATTGTGAAAAGTATTTGGGGGAAGCCACACCCAAGTGGGTGGCTTTTGTCTATAATCCTTAGTTGCCCAGGAGGCTGAGATCTGGAAGACTGTAGGTCAAAGCAGACTGGACAGACAATCTAGCAAACAGCTAGGCTAGAAGTGTAGTTTAAGTGGTACAAGCAAAATAATAATAGCTAGGCACTGGTGGCTCATGTCTGTGATCATAGTTACACAAGAGGCTGAGATCTGAGGATTTTGGTTCAAAGCTAGCATGGGAAACATTGAGACTCTTACCTCTAATAAACTACTCAGAAAAAGGCAGAAGTGGAGCTGTGGCTTAAAGTAGTAGAGCACTAGTCTTGAGCAAAAACACTCAGGGACAGTACCCAGGCCTTGAGTTCAAGCCCCGTGATCAGCCAAAAAAACCAACAACATAAAAAACTAATAATAATAATTTAAAAAGAGGGGCTGGGGGTTTAGCCCAGCGCCTGCAAGGCCCTGGGTTTGGTCCTCAGCCCTGGGAAAAAAGAATTAAAAAAAGAAGAAAATTTTGTGCCATTTATCGCTGTGCATGTAGGAGTATGTATATACATAGTATGTACATGCAGTTTCCTCATAAACTAAGAGTAGGTTGCATACATCAGACCTTCATCACTCGCCATACCAGTGTACACTTCTTAAGAATAAAGACATTCTTCCGTAAAACTACTGTGTAGCTCAAGTTGGCCTTGAGCTCTTCATTCTGCTACTGGCTCAGCCTCCAGAATGCTGGGATTACAGGAATGCTTAACCATGTCTAGCAGTATATGTTCAAGCCTTTTCTGACCTGATAATTAAGTGATTAAATTTGTAGCTGAAAAGAGAGCTTTTAATTTGTACAAAAATAGTGGGTAAGGAAAACCTAATTTCTGGACACTACATTTGTGGAGAATTTTAGATAGGAACTAAAGCAAAGAAAATTTGTCATAATAAGATTTGATACTCAAGCCAGGTGCTGGTGGCTCACGCCTGTAATCCTAGCTACTTAGGAGGCTGGGATCTGAGGATCATGGTTCAAAGCCAGCACAGGAAGGAAAGTCTGTGAGACTCTTTTTTTTGGGGGGGGGGGGGTCCGGTTGTGGGGCCTGAACTCTGGGCCTGGGCGCTGTCTCTCAGCTCTTCAGCTCAAGGCTAGCACTCTACCACTTGAGCCACAGCGCCACTTCCGGCTTTTTTCTTTTTGCTTATGTGGTGCTGAGGAATCGAACCCAGGGCCTCATGCATGCAAGGCAAGCGCTCTACCACTGAGCCACCTTCCCAGCCCCAATGTGAGACTCTTATCTACAGTTAACCACCAGAAAACCATAAGTGATGCTGTGGCTCAAGTGACAGAGTACTTGCCTTGAGCTGAAGAGCTCAGGGAAAGCACCTAGGCCCAGAGTTCCAAGACCTACAACCGACCAAAAAACAAAACAAAACAACCAAGGCCGGGCGTCAGTGGCTTATGCCTGTAATTCCAGCTACTCTGGAGGCTGAGATCTGAGGGTAGTGGTTCAAAGCCAGCCTGAGCAGGAAAGTTCGTGAGACTTCTTATCTCCAATAAACCACCAGAAAATTGGAAGTAGCGCTGTGGTTCAAGCAATAGAGCACTCTTGAGCTGAAGAGCACAGGGACAGCGCCCAAGCCCAGAGTTCAACCCCCAGGACCAACAAAAAACAAAAAAAACCCAATTTGATAGTAGGACTGGGAATGAGGCTTAGTGGCATAGTGCTTGCCTAGCACATATGAAGCTCTGATTCCTCAGTACCATATGAACAGAAAAAGTCAGAAGTGGCGCTGTTACACAAATGGTAGAGTGCTAGGCTTGAGCAGAAGAAGCTCAGGGACAGTACCCAGGGCCTGAGTTTAAATATCACGACTGGTTCTCCCCCCCCCCTCAAAAAAAAAAAAAAGATTTGATTGTCAATCTACAAACTAGATGATCTGGTTTGTATAAAGATATAAATGAAGGGTTTTCCCTTTCTACTTAGAAGAATAATATGGATATAGACTATGATAGGAGGGAACAAAGGTTAGTACAAATTTTTAGTATTCTTACTAAAAATAAGTATTTTTTTTTGTGGGTGTGGGTGTGGGTGGGTGTCGGGGCTTGAACTCTGGGCCTGGGCACTGTCCCTGAGCTCTTCAGCTCAAGGCTAGCACTCTACCACTTGAGCCATAGTGCCACTTCTGGCTTTTTCTGTGTATGTGGTACTGAGGAATTGAACCTGGGGCTTCAATGCATGCTAGGCAAGCACTCTACCACTAGGCCACATTCCTAGCCCCATAAGGTAAGTTTCGACATCCCAACTGATTTTTGTAACGGTTTGGCATTTCTAATAGAATAGTAAATTAATCTTTAAAATTGCTTCAGGATTTTATTATTTTTTTTAATTATTTTTTTGGTCCGGTAGTGGGGCCTGAACTCTGGGCCTGGGCGCTGTCCCTCAGCTCTTCAGCTCAAGGCTAGCGCTCTACCACTTGAGCCACAGTGTCACTTCCGGCTTTTTTCTTTTTGCTTATGTGGTGCTGAGGAATCGAACCCAGGGCCTCAGGCATGCAAGGCAAGCGCTCTACCACTGAGCCACCTTCCCAGCCCTATTTTTTTAATTTAAAAAATTTTTTTTAGTGCAGGTCCTGGAACTTGAACTCAGGGCTTAGGCTGTGGTCACTGAATTTTTATGCTCAAGGCTACCACTGGAGCCATAGCTCTACTTCTAGTTTTTTGGTAGTTAATTGGAGATAAGAGTCTTAAGGAAGCCGGGCACCATACCTGTAATCCTAGCTACTCAGGAGGCTGAGATCTGAGGATCACTGTTCAAAGCCAGCCCAGGCAGGAAAGTCCATGAGACTCTTATCTCCAATAAACCACTAGAAAGCCAGAAGTGGCGCTGTGGCTCAAGTAGTAGAGCGCTCATCTTGAGCTGAAGAGCTGAGGGACAGCGCCCAAGCCCAGAGTTCAAGACCCATGACCGACCCCCCCCAAAAAAAGTCTTAAGGACTTTGCTTTTGAATGTGATCCTCAGTTCTCAATCTCTTAAGTAACTAGGATTAAAGATGTGAGTCACTAGTAACTGGCTTGTTTTGTTTTGTGTCAGCAATGAGGCTCAGCTTCCCCCCCCCCCCCCCCCCCTTGGTCATGGGGCTTGAACTCTGGGCCTGTGGGCTGCCCCTGAGCTCTTAAGCTCAAAGCTAGCACTCTACTGCTTGAGCCAGGGCACCACTTCCAGTTTTCTGGCAGTTAATTAAAGATTAGAGTCTAAAGGACTTTGCTTGTCTGGGCTGGCTTTGAGCCAAGATCATCAGATCTCAGTCTCCTAAGTAGCTAGGCTTACAGGCATGAGCCACTAACACCTGGCCTACTCAGCTTTTTAACTCATTATTTATTTACTGGTTGTTGCTCTGCCACTTGAGCCATGTCTCCAGTTCCAGCTTTTTACTGGTTAATTGAAGATAAGAGTCTGTTGGGTTTGTCTGCCTCAGTTGGCTTTGAACCTTGATCCTTAGATATGAGCCTCCAGGGTAGCTAGGATTATAGGTTTGGGAGTAATTTATTCCCATAGGTGAATGACATGGAGCTTGGTAATGTACCAATCTACCAAGCATTAGGTAGAATGCTTGCTTACCTAGCATGCGGGAAGTCCTAGATTCCATCCACAGAACATCAAGAACAAAAACAAAAAAGAACTTACGTGAATGTAAAGCCAAATTAGCTAAACAATACTTTGGTAATACATTTCTTCTACAGTTACATTCTTGTTTTCAATAGTTGCCATGTATTAGGCTACAAATAAGTTCTTAAATTCCTGGAACCAGAAATCACATAGCCCTCATTTGCTAGTCACAATATAATAAGTTAATAGCAATAATGTACAGTGGAAAAAAACCTCTTTAAAGTGGTGTTGAGAAAACTGGACATAACATGTAAAAAACTAAAATTGGATTCCTGTTTGTCGCCATGCATGATGTGATAACCTATACAGGCCTCTAGGCATCCACACACAGCCCAAAGGAAGATACCAGTAGAGGAGGAACCAAAAGGCATAATTCCTGAACATTTAATACACTATTTATTGAAACAAAGTCCAGGAAACAGAAAACATGGGTTATTTATGTTAGTGGTAGTAGTGATATTTTTTGTGGTGTGCTTGCTTTTTCTGCCTTTTTTTTTTTTTTTTGGTGGGGAGGAGGGGGGCCAGGGTAGCCGCAGAAAGGGAGTGAGGAAGAGTGAACAAACGCAGTCATAGTATTCAGGATGCTCTGTGTGGAAAATGAACTATGCAATTTGTGGGCAGGAATTGGAGGTGGAAAGTGAAGGAAGAGGTTGACATTGTCCAAAAGAGAGAATTAACTGACTTGTGAAATAGTAACCCCCTCTGTACAACACCTTAATATTATAAAAAATAATAAAGTCAACAATGTAGCATTTTATACAGAAAGAAATAAAATTTTTTTCCCCATTCCTAATGAAAAATTTAAAGAGTAAATCTTAAGATACATCAATTCATGTAGATATTTTGAACTTTGCTTCTAGGACTGGGTTACAAGTCAAGTGTTTGTACCAACATAAATAAAAAAAATTTTTAAATAATTCCAGAGTTAAGATGGTAATTAAACTTAGTAACTGAGATAAGTGAATAATAATAATTAAGGTACGCAAGAGAAATCTATCAAGTTTAATGACTAC